AAACCCCTACCCTCTAGTTTTGGTCTCCCCCACCCTGGGGAAAAGACCTTGGCTATTCATCCTATCCAGGCTCCTCATGATTTTATAAACTTGTATAAGGTCAGCCCTCAGCCTCGAACCTCCAGGGAAAATAGCCCCAGACTATTCAGTGTCTACCTATTGGTCCAACCTTCCAACTCTGGCAGCATAGTTGTAAATCTTTTCCGAACCCTTTCAAGTTTCACAACATCCTTCCTAAAGCATGGAGACCAGAACTGAACACTGAACACTCCAAAAGTGGCCTAACCAATGTCCTGTACAGCAGCAACATGACCTCCCAACTCCTATACTCAATGCACTGACCAATAAAGGCAAGCATACCAAATGCTGTCTTCACTATCCTGTCTATCTGCGACTCCACTTTCAAGGAACCATGAACCTGTACTCTAAGGTCTCTTTGTTCAGCAACATTCCCCAGGATCTTACCATCAAGTGTCTAAGTCCTGCCTTGATTTGCCTTTCCAAAATGCAGCACCTCACATTTATCAAAATTAAACTCCATCTGCCACTCCTCGGCCTATCGGCTCATTTGATCAAAGTCCCATTGTATTCTGCGGTAATCTTCTTCACTGTCCACTACGACACCCACTTTGGTGTCATCTGCAAACTTACCAGCCATACTTCCTAGGTTCACATCCAAATCTTTTATATAAATGACAAAAAGCAGTGGACCCAGCAGCAATCCTTGTGGCTCCATCACCAACCTCTATCTCCTGTCTTCAAGCCAGTTCTGTATCCAAATGGCTAGTTCTCCCTGTATTCCATATGATTTAACCCTGTTAACCAATCTACCATACCTTACCCAATGCCTTACTAAAATTCACATCGATCACTTCCACTGCTCTGCCTTCATCAATCCTCTTTGTTACTTCTTCAAAAAACTCAATCGTCGTAGTGAGACACAAGTTCCCAATCACAAAATCATGTTGATGATCCCTAATCAATCCCTAATTGTCCTGGTCTTTGCAAATACATATAAATCCTCTCTCTCATGATCCCCTCCAACAACTTGTCCACCACTGATGTCAGACTCACTGGTCTATAGTTCCCCAGCTTTTCCTTACCACCTTTCTTAAATAGTAGCATCACGTTAGCCAACCTCCAGTCTTCTGGCACCTCATCTGTGGCTATCGATGATACAAATATCTTAGCAAGAGGTCCAGCAATCACTTCCCTAGCTTCCCACAAAGTTCTAGGGTGCACCTGATCAGGTCCAGGGATTTATCCACCTTTAAGTGTTTTAAGAACTTCAGCACTTCCACCCCTGTAATATGGACATTTTCCAAGATGTCACTGTTTATTTCCCCAAGCTCTCTAGTTTCCATATCCTTCTTCACCGTACACACTAATGCAAAATACTCATTTAGTATCTCCCCCAGCTCCTGTGGTTCCATGCCTTGCTGATCTTAAAGGGTCCTTATTCTCTCCCTCGTTACTCTTTTGTCCTTAATGCATTTCTAGAATCGTTCTGGATTCTCCTTAACCCTATTTGCCAAAGCTATCTCATGTCCTCTTTTTGCCCTTCTGATTTCCCTCTTAAGTATACTCCCACTGCATTTATACTCTTCTGTGAATTTACTTGATCCCTGCTGTCTATACCTGACATATGCTTCTTTCTTTTTCTTGACCAAAACCTTAATTTCTCTAGTCATCCAGCATTCCCTATACCTACCAGCCTTGCCCTTCAACCTAACAGGTACATACTGTCTCCGGACTCTCGCTACCTCATTTTTGAAGGCTTCCCATTTTCCAGCTGTAACTTCACCTGCGAATAGCCACCCCGAATCAACTTTTGAAAGTCCTTGCCTCATCCCATCAAAATTGGCCATCTTCCAATTTAGAACTTTAACTTTTAGCTTTGGTCTATCCTTTTCCATCACTGTTTTAAAACTAATAGAATTATGATCACTGGCACCAAAGTGCTCTGCCACCGAATCCTCAGTCACCTGCCCTGCCTTATTTCCCAAGTGTAAGTCAGGTTTTGCTCCTTCTCTAGTATGTACACACCTATTTTCTGTATACATTTCACAAATTCCTCTCCATCCAAGCCCTTAATACCATAACAGTCTCGGTCTATATTTGGAAAGTTAAAATCCTCTACCATTTCCACCCTATTATTCTTACAGATAACTGAGATCTCCTTACAAATTTGCTTCTCATTTTCCACTGACTATAGCGGGGGATGTATTAAATCCCAATAAGGTTACCACCATTTTCTTATTTCTCAGTTCCACCCAAATAACTTCCCCAGATGTACTCCCAGGAATATTCTCCCCAAGTACAGCCGTAAAGACATACAGCATAGAAACACATCCTTCAGACCAATTCATTCGTGCCAACCAGACATCCCAATCTGACATTGTCCCATTTGCCAACATTTGGCCCATATCTCTCTAAACATTTCCGATTCATATACTCATCCAGACGCATTTTAAATGTCGTAATTGTACGTCCACCTCTTCCTCTGGCAGCTCTATCCATACATGCACCCTATGCATGAAAACGTTACCCTTCAGATCCTTTTAAACTCTTTCCCCTCTCACCTTAAACCTAAGGCCTCTAGTTTTGGGCTCCTCTACCCTGGGGAAAAAGACCTTGGCTATTCACCTATCTATGCCCCTAATGATTTTTGAATCTTCTATAAGGTCGATGACTCCAGAAATGTAATCAATGTTATGCATGAATGAATTCAAAGGATCATCAATAATGTCATATTAGAAACTTCACAAAACAGAAAACTCTAAGAATTTATCTTCAGGATTCTTCAATAGCAGAGCTTTAAAGAATTATACTGTATAAAGACCAAACACTGAACATCCAGAGTCAGATGCTGTTGGTTGGAATCGTAGCTAAATTCCACCATTAATCGAGTATTAGCTAAATTGAGTTGTGAGGCATAACTTGTTTATGTGAAGGGGTCTTAGTTTGGTTGCTACATGCGATAAACTTTAAGTAATCCTTTCAGTATTTGATTGTCTGTGAGATTTCTTAATAAGTTGCTGAATTAAAGCTTTTGGTAACTTTGACATAATGCTCCTCTATGTTGGTACTCAATAAGAAATTTGTGACATCTCTTTTAAAGTTACTGTTTAGTTTAAATTTCTGAGTTACTCTCAGTTTATTCAGAATAATATTCCATACTTACCCCTTTTCCATAAATACTTTATTTAACTGGAGAACAAAGAATGAATGGAAAAAATAAACACCTTCATTTATTTAGCACTTTTCATAATTTCCACATACCTCAAAGTGTGTTACATCCAATGAAGCACTCTTGAAGTGTAGACACTGCTGCAAAGTAGGAAAAGAGGCAGCCAATTTGCAGTCTGCAAACTCCCAGAAGTTTGAATGTTATAGTGGCCAGATAATCTATTTTTGGTGATGTTGATTGAAGGATAATATTTAAGAGGACATGGGTGGAAAATACATCAATTCTGTTTCAATATCGTGCACACCCACACAGAATCTCAGTTTAAAGTCTCATCTGAAAGACTGTACTTTTAATACTGTAGTGCTCTGTCATTACTGCACAAGGGTGTCAGCACCGATTTTGTCTCCAAATCATGGAGTGGGATTTCAGTGGAGAATATTGTGTCTCAGAAGGGAGAATGCTACCAAGTGAGCCATGGCATACATATTATCTGATTGACTTTCAGCTGCCTACCGAATAGGTTGAAAAGACCAAGTTTCAATCAACACCTTACAAACCTTAGATGCCTGACCTAAGCGATAAATCCGATGGCACTTCTCCACACTGCCTCAAGTGTTCAACTGTATAGAGTATCTCTTGGTAACAACTAGTGTGGGCTAACCACAAATCAGTTTAATCATGACTTTCAGCAGCTTGTTTTGTCTATGGCATTTAGTATTCTGCTCATTCTGTTGTTTTATATTCTGCATTAGTTGCACATGTTTACTGCAAAGTTTATTGTCTTTAAAACGTGTGTATACTTGTCTTCACTTGTAGCAATTACACTATGTGCAGTGCAACAATAAACATTGTGTCATGTGCAGACAAAACTACTGTATTGTCAGGGTGTAGACTGAATATCAGGTCCAGGATAAGTAAACCGTAGTGTCAAGTCATGAAGACTTGTGAAACTTGCCTCTTGACTTTTGCCAGATCATTTATGCTTTCCTGGTGCAAAAAGCTGAAGGACAAAGAAACTTCAGCCCTGAGTATTCCTAATTGAAAGATGATGTTAAAATGGATAATACACTGAGAGCCCATACACTCTTTGATTTGTTATGAAAGCCCTAGTCTTCTTCCAAACATTATCTTTTAAAAGTTAACAGCAACAGGACTAAATAAATTTCCAAGAACACTAGCCTTCAATGAACTTTTGCTCCTCTAAATTGTAGATTCTGCATAACTGAAGTATTAAGGTACCTGAAATAAATGCTACAAAATACTGAAAATTGCAGAGTTAATTTTCCTAATGAATCTTAGGAGATAAAAGGGAAAGAAGTGGAAGATGTGTTTTGATGTCCGAAGCGATAATCCATCCACTCGTTACAGCAAACTGACAACGCGTTACTAATTAATAGATTTGCAGATTAGATCACTGAACCCCTGAAGACATCAGGGCGACGTACCACGGCTACTGGACTAACGCGATACTAGATTTTTACTCTTCGAGGCGACTGTGCGTTACTATATTGGTTATGCCCGAGAGCAATAAAAGTTTGAAGATGCAGAGATAATGGATAATGTTACAACAAACCGAAAGCAGTTTCGCACAACTTGTGTATAGTCACACCACTGCTTACATTTAGTCGGGTTGAATTTCCTTGTCACATACTGATTGTGCAGAATTGCAGCCTGGGACCTGACGATCTATTAGTTATCTGACAGTTGGATGATCCGGGCATTCCAAGACTTTTCAGGTGTTTTATGAAAGACAATTTTGTACGTTTTGAACCAACGTTAAGTGCAACTGAAAAGGAAAAAGAAAACTTACTACAGAAAGCACTGGTGGAAGGTTGTGGTTCAAATGGACGGTTGCTAGTCTCTCCTAACGAGTGATCGGGTTCCTCGGAAGAACAATGGCCATTCCGGCATTCAACCCTTTGACTGATATCGGAACGAGGACTGTTTTGCTCCTCTTTGATATCCAGAGACTCTCCCGTTGTCGCGATCGCATCTATAAAGACGGGCCGCTCGTTGGCGATCCGGGAACCGAGCACCACATCAAGCTGCTCGTAGAAGCGGCAGATCTTCCTCCCGCTGGCGCTACAGCCCCTCTTAATGCTGTCCTTGGCCAGCGTGTATTTCCTCTTCAGCCCCTTGATGCGGATGCGGCACTGCTCCGGAGTGCGGATATAACCCTGGTCCAGCAGCTGCGAAGAGATGAACTTGAAAACGTGGCTGTTCCTGAGCTGCTCGTCCAGCGCCGTCTGCACATTCTCCTCGCTCCAGACGGCGATCAGCGCCAGGGTCTCAGCATCAGACCACAGGGCACCGCGTTCAGACCTCATCTCTGACATCATTAGCAAAGAGAGCTCCCGGACAGCCTCAAAAACGAATTACAAATCACCCAGCTCCTTTCACCAGCACCTCCAGGGCGCCAACGCCACAGCCGGCTGCAGCGAAACACTGGAGGAGCTTGAGAAGCGAGCCGCCCGACACACAAACAATCGGCTCCACATGAAAGGCCCCTTCAAATTTGCCCCCTCTGAGAACCATGGGTAGATACCGACGTGATGACGGTTTCCGGCCGCGATGACGTTTTGGACAGGGGCTGTTGCTGGGAGGAAGGGGCTGATCCTCCTCAGCCGGGTCACTGTGCGGGAAGTTTAAAGAAAATTTGTACCGATTTCGTCGATTTGGGTGTTAAGCAGGTAGGAGCTCCGGATGGCGCTGCTGCACCGAGCCTGGCGGCCGGTAGCGCGTCTCGTTATGCAGGGTCCGGCCCGGATAACGGCCGCACTGAGGGCCTGGGTGAGTATCACCTCATGGTTTCCCTTCATTCCCTTGGCCGACTGACCCGCGTCCCTTGTTGCGGTATCGTGCCGGCCTTCACATCCGTGACGACGAGCTGTAATAAATCGTACCTCGCGTTCAAACAGGCAGCGCTTATCACCGTGACCATGCTTGCCTCCGCTTTAAAACACACGTTTGTACTCGTTCGTGGGATGTGAATGTCGTTGGCTAGGCCTGCCTGTCCCAAGTTGAGAAGCGAATGGGTGACCTGTCTTCTTGTACCACTGCACCCAGTGTGCAGTAGGTAGATGCCTGGTAGTGCTGATACGGAGGGTGTTCTAGGACTTTGAACCAGCGAGACTGAAGCAATCACTGCAGCACTGATGAGTTAATGTTCAAGGTTGTGTTGGGGAAAGGGGTGTGATGTAGGGTCTTGGGCCAGAAATACAAGACAGGAATGTGATTAAATACTTTGTACTTTCCTGGATGAGCACAAATCCAACTTCACTTAAGAATCTGAACGCCACACAGGACAAAGCAACTTGATGGGAACACAATTTACCTTAAACATTAACTCTCTTCACCAGTGAATGCACAGCAGTGTATGACATCTACAAAATATCCAGTGCTAATCTGTAAAGATTCCTTCAAGAGCATCTTCCAGCTTTGTGATCTCCACTGAGTAGAAGAACAAGGACAGCATATGCATGGGTACAAGTTGTTCTCCTGCTCACGCGTCATCCTGATTTGGAACTATGTTAGCTTCATTTCTCAGTCCAAGTCCTGGAACTTCTTTCCTAACAATATTATGGTTGTACCAAATAACAGGACCTCGAGTGGTTCAAGAAGGTGAATTGCTGCCAACTTTTCTGGAATGAGGGATAAATTCTGGCCTTTCCAGTCACGCTTGCATCCCACAAAGAATTTTTAAAACTGACTTTAAAATTAAATTATGAAAAGCACTGTCATATTGTCAATTATTTCAGTCTTCCAGTGCTAAATCAATAGAGGAGAGACAGAAATGCCTGATGGCTCGGGGACTTCCAAAGCAAAAAATGATTCCAGGAGTGAAACAGGTTATTGTTGTAGCCTCAGGAAAAGGTGGTGTTGGAAAATCAACTACTGCAGGTACAAAATATGGTGAATGTGTAGTGTTCCAATTAGAAACTAGTGTATTAGATTTCTAAAATGTTATATATAACAATAATCTTGGAAGTATGTGAAAAGAGACATTGACAAAACTTGTCGTCCTGCACTCAGAAGGACAAATGCAACAATGCCAAATTTCAAAATATTACAATAATCTATACTACAGGAGAAGAGTATTGATTGGTTGGTCAGGAATTGCCATGCAGCAAGCAACTGGGTTCCGTTGCCTCTCGACTTCCTGGGAAATTTTTTTAAAATGCAGGGTTTGAGCACATTTCTTTGCAGAGAATGGGTCCCTCTGTACGTGGTGGCCTGGCTTAGTTGGGATTGCATTCCTGAAATTCACAACTTTAGGCGACGCTCACAGAATCGATGTTAAAGCTGGAGTTGGATTCCAACATGGCACCCCGAGTAGAGAAAAAACATTAAAATAATATGCTTACACCCTTTCAATTGAAATACTGCACTTTGACTAAATTTTTAAATTGGCAAATTTTTAAAATAAAGTATACTTTTGTTTATAGGTATTTTAAAATTCAACATTTTACTCAGTACCTGCTGGAGTGAACTATGGAATTAAGTCTGGGGCCTGCGCTCGGTGACATTTGCTCATCAGGTTGTGGTCTGCCTACTGGTGCCCTTTTTTCTGCAATTTTATGACTGCTGCCTGATGTCTTTTTGTGGGGACATGGCGCCCTTTCTCACTGGCTGCTGTCACCTCCGAGGCTTGTTCAGTATGTAGCTGGATGGGGCTGCTACTTGTGGCTGACTTTGGGCCCACTTGGGGTTCAGTCTTTCCTTCGTTGTCCTGCCAGTTGTGGGTTGCAGTCTGACAACGGGGACCTGCCATTTCAACCACAGCCTCAGGAGCGAGGAGATCTGCTTGGGTTTGACCTGTTGACACCTGACAGGCTGGAGAGGGCTGATAAGCTGCCAAGATACTGACCGCCCATAGGCCAGAGCAGGGGCTGCTGAACTCCAAAGTCACCAGTGCTCCACAGGCCACTTGCCAGAGTGGGGTTGCTATTGGCTGCTGAGAAAGCTGCTTCATAACCAGATTTGTCCAGCAGATGGGGAGGGAGATGGCAGCTGTGCTTTGGTGGGTGTTTGAAGCCAGGTCCAGCAAGCTGTTAGGGATGTCATGGGTTGGGAGCTCCTGGTGAAGACTTTGGGCAGCATTACAGCATTTGGGGGGGGGGGTGTTCCGCATGAGAGAGAAGGAAAGGTTGTGCCAAAATTGGACCAACTAAGTCAGATAATTCAGATTAAGTTTTGCCATAAACATCACTGTGGTGAATTTTGCAGCAGTCAACAACATTTCCAGTCCTAATAAATTATTGCAGCAAAACAGCACTAGGTGACTTTAAATGCAGACTACTTGTATTCAAATATGTCACACAGGTAAGAACAGGTGGACCAGATTAACTCGAGTGATTGAAATTCCTGGATCAAACAATGAGTAGCTATAAAGAATGTCCTCCATGGCATTGCCTCAGCCAATCAGAGTTGACTTGCCAACCAATCAGCATATCTATTCTTGCATTTGTTCTGATGAGCGCAAGACAAAAAGCTTCAGCCTCACATTTTTCTCAGCAATATTTGAAATACTCTTTTGTAATTTATTGATGGCAATAAATTGAATTACAGTTTGGCACCCCTGTTTCTAGATTTTTGTATTTCTCCAAAAAGGCCTTAATCCTTGTCAACCACTTCTAAAAGGGTCAATTGAAGGCACCTAGAATCACTATCCTTATGAATTCTTTGTTTTGGGAGTGGGGAATGGTGATGGTTGGTGTGTCCTTTGCCTTTGAAAGTTCTCAAGCTTGTACACAGGTGTTAATTTTAAGATCTGATATGTTTTATTGGTGTTTTGCACTAATCTAAATTTACTTTAATTTCAGTGAATTTGGCTTTGGGAATGGCTGCTAACAATTTGGTAGGTGGATGTGCTTTTGCAGCAGAATTTTGTTAAAATACTTTTGTGTGAAACCTAATGATATAATTGAAAAGGTAAAAATATTTTATGCTAGGATTTCTGCTGGTGCATTTCTTAGTATTGTAAACCGTATTTTGTAATTAACTTGTTCAGTGTTGATAATTTGTTATCTTACAATTTACTTATCGGGTTCTTACGGCACCAGGTAGTACGCTACTTCCGGACTAGGAGTTTGGGTTCAGTTCTACCTGCTGTGTCATATCATGTTGGAACAGGTTGATTAAAACAACAGCAATTTACTTGTCACAAAATAGAATAGGTGATGGCATAGTGGTAATGTCACTGGACTAGTAATCCAGAACCCAAGGCTAATGTTCTGGCGCCACAGATTCACTTTCTACCATGGTAGATGGTGCAATTTATTCTGTTTTTAAAAAAAAGTTATAATAAAATGCTTGCCTTATAGAGTCCTACAGCATGAAACAGACCTTTCCCAAACTAAACTAGTCCCACCTCCCTATGCTCAACCCATATCCCTCTGAATATTTCCAATTCATGAATTTATCCACGTCTTTTAAATGATGTAACTGCAACCGCATTCACCACTTCTTCTGGAAGTTCATTCATGCATGAAATACTCTGTGTAAAGAAAGTTGGCCCTTATGTCTTTTTTAAGTCTTTCTCCCCTCACCTTAAAAATATACTCCTTATTTTTTAAATCCCCCATCTTACAGCAAAGACACCTGTCATTCACTTTCTCTATACCTCTCATCATTTTATAAACCTCAATAAGGTCACCCCTCAATCTCCTACGCTCCAGTGAGAAAAGTCCCAGCCTATCCATCCTCTCCTTATAACACAAATCCTCCATTCTTGGCAACATCCTGTTTAAATCTTTTCTGAATCCTCTCCAACTTAATAATATCCTTCCTGGAACAGGGCGATCAAAATTGTACACAGTACTCCAGAAGAGGCCTCGCCAACGTCCTGTAAAACCTCAATACGACATCCCCACTCCTATACTCAAAGGTCTGAGCATGCTAACTGCCTTCTGAATCACCCTGTCTATATTTGCTGCAAACTTCAAAGAATCATGTACCTGAACCTGTCAGTCTCTCGTTGTACAACACTACAACAAGTCCCTACTCCTAATTGTATAAGTCCTGCTCTTGTTTTTTTAAACCAAAATGCAACACCTTGTACATATCCAAATTAAACTCCATGTCCCAATTCTCAGCCCATTGACCCAGGATTTCTTTTTGTAATCTTAGATAACCTTCTTCGCTGTCCGCTATGCTACCAATTTTGTTGTCATCTGCAAACTATATCTTCTATATTTTCATCTAAGTCATTTATATAAAATGACAAACAAAAGTGGACCCAGTGCTGATCCCTGTGGAACACTATCTCCAGTCTGAAAAACAACGCTGTACCACCACCCTCTGACTCTTGCCATTAAGCCAATTTTGTATCCAATTTGCAAGCTCACCCTAAATCCTATATGATCTAATTTTACTAGTTAGTCTACCATGTGGAACCTTGTCAAAGGCTTTACTGAAGCCCAAATAAACATCGTCTACAGTTCTGCCCTCATCAATCCTCTTGGTTACTTCCTCAAAAAAACTCATTCAAGTTTGTAAGACAAGATTTCCCTTGCACAAAACCATGCTGACTATCCCTAATCATTCCTTGCCTCCCCAAATGCGTATAAATCCTATCTTTCAGAATCACCCCAACAGCTTACCCACCACTGAAGTCACACTGTCAAGGTCTATAGTTGCCGGGCTGCTCCTTACATCTTAAACAAAGATACAACATTAGCCACTCTCCAGTCATCCAGCTCCACACCCATAATTATCGATGATACAAAGCTTTCTGCAAGGGGTCCCACAATTTCCTCCCTAACTTCTCACAACGCCCTGGGATGCTCTGAATTGGGTCCCCAAGATTTATCTACCTTTACAGTTTCTGAGAGCTCCAGCACTCCTCTAATGTAAACTGTTTTTACAATATCAATATTTATTTCCCTGAGTTCTCTAGCCTCCATTTCTTTCTGCACAGGAAAAATTGACACGAACTATTCATTTAATATCTCTCCCATCTCCTGAGGTTCAACACAAAGATGAGATGACCCCTTTGATCTTTAAGGGGTGCTGTTTGCTCTAATGATGATCATGTGACCACTGTTAACTGTTCAAGTCACTAATGTCTCCCATCATGACCTGGTTTGGCTTACACATGACTCCAGACCCACAGCAATGCTTTCCTTCTTAACTGCCCAGCCTGTGATGTCCACATCCCATGAACAAATTTTTTTCAAAAATCCCACATTGAGGTGATGCATTAGTAGTACAGTAAGGAAAATTTGCAATATGTTTAAAATGTTTGTGGAATCTGTAATTGTTTTTAAAAATGCTTGGCAAGGATTTTAGGATTTCTGAGTTTGAATCAACTGTAAAGAAGTCAGTTGTAACTTTATTAGACCAATATTTATTGTTATCTGTGTGAATTGATGCTTAACTTGGAAGTAGTGCCAGCACGAAGTAGGTGAAGACAGAAACCTTGTAGTTTACAAATGCAAAAGAGAGCTGCAGCAGAAAGGAAAGCACATTTACAAGGAACTGTGTTTTTGTGATACGGTTAAACAGAACAGAGATCTTGAGGAGAAGGTTAGGGTGGTGAGTATGAATTTGACAATTTAATTATTGGTCCTTTTGTTCTGTCAGAGCCAACCAGACTGCTTAACAATGCTTACTAAAGGGTGGATTGAAGGGCTTTCTGGGGAAACTGCACAATCAAGACTGCTGTGAGCGTAGCTGTTGATTGACACACTCTTGTAGACCTTCAGATGATGATCATCTTAAGGGACCTTGGGCAGAGATATGTCTGCTGGTGAATGCCATTTGCAATCTGTGTCAGTTCATTGGAAAAGTAAGAAATCCATGTACCAGAGCCCTAGTTGGAGGAGTTTGTAATGGCATATGGTGCCACGTGACTATGTGGAGCAATGTACATGCATGTTGTCCATATGAAGTGACCATTTGAAGTATCTCCCTGCTAATTTTGTTTTTGTATTTATTCTAAATTGTGTTGAAGTACAATTTACAAAAAGTGAAAATCTTGCTGTGAATTGCTCCATCTGAGAGTCATTTGGTAAATTTGGTTGTTTTGCTTTACGATTACCCATGGGGATCATTACAGTATTTGGGTTGAAGCACTCTGACATCATGGCCAAAAATAGCGTCTGTAGATTTGAGGTTATTAGATGTTTTTCCATTTTCCAGATGTATCAAATCACATGCTTTTTATTCCTAGGTTAATTTGAGAATTCAAAAGATCTAGCTTTTCCCTCCAGGTTGCAAGTAATGACCATTACAATCAGGAATCAGTTATGGTTGCCACTTTGTCTCCTACAAGCCTTACTTGGGTGTTCTTTATTTTGTTGACATCTGTGTTAAATGGATCACCATGCTATGGCTCTTGAATCTTGATGAATTTTTTTTAGTCCAATATGTATTTGTTGGTAATGATACAACTGAGTAGTTTGTAAGATTGCTGCTCAACTGTTGAAACCATTGCATTGGTTTAGGTTGTAGACTTGCTTCCCGAGCTGGTGTGTTTGATTGCAGATGTTTCATCACCCTGCTAAGTAACATTGTCTGTGGGCCTCCAGTGAAGCGTTGGTGTTCTGTCCCACCAGTTATTAATATGTCTCAGTTTGCTGGGGTGGTGTCATCAGTTTTTGGGTTCTGTTTTTCAGTGGTTTGTAAATAGGGTCCGTTTCATTGTGTTTGTTGATGGAGTTCCAGTTAGAATGCCAGGCCTCCATGAATTCCCTGGCTTGTGATACTATGGATGTTGTGACCCAGTTGAATTTGTCTTTCTCTGTCTCTGTTTATTGAGACCAGTGAGAATTGGTCATGTCTCTTGGTGGCTAGTTGGTGTTCATGTATCCTTATTGTCAGTTTTCTTCCAGTTTGGCCTTTGTAATGTTTCTCATAGTCCTTCCGTGGTATTTTGTGTATTGCATTAGTTTTATTGGGTGTGAGTATGGGATCCTTATGTCATCAGTAGCTGTTGCAGGGTGGTTGTTGGTTTGTGGGCTACCCTGATACCTAGGGGTCTGAGTAGTCTTATGGTCATCTCTGATATGTCTCTGTACGGGAGGGTGACTAAAGTATCTAGCCATGTTGTGTTTTCTTATGGTCTGTCGCGGAGGTAACGGTAAATTGTGCTTTTTTTGGGTATCCATTCCTTTTAAAAACTCCGTATAAGCGCTCCTGTTCTGCTTTGCGCCATTGCGCGTTGCTGCAGTGTGTTGTAGCTTGTTTGAATAAGTCCCGATGCAACTCTGTTTACGGGTGTCGGGGTGGTTGCTGGCATAATTAAGTATCTGGTCCGTATGTGTGGTCTTTCTGTATATGCTAATCTGGAGTTCCCAGTTGTTCTTAGATTCTACTATTATGTCTAGGAAGGGTAGTTTGTTATTGTTCTTTTCTTTTGTGGATTTTGTTCTGGTGAGGATGTTGTTTGTGTCAGTGGGTTTTTTCTAGTCTCGTGTGTTTGACGCCTTCACAATTATCATCGATGTAGCGGACCCAGAGTTTGGATTGTATAATGGGGAGTGCTATCCGTTCTAACCTTTGCATTACCGCTTCTGTAATCAGCCCTGACATTGGGAATCCCATTGGTATTCTGTTGATTTGTTTAGATACACTGTTGTTGAAGGTGAAGTGGGTTATGAGGCACAGAACCAGCAGTTTCGGGGTGCTGTCCTTGATGCTGTTGATGTCATGGGGTGCCTGCCTTCCTGATTCATCCAGCAGTGTGGCAATTGTCTGTTTAGCTAGGTTGACGTTTATGGATGTAAATAGTGTTGTTACATCGAAGGACATAATTATCTCGTCCTCTTCTATTCTGGTGTCCTTGATGATGTTGAGGAGTTTTTGGGGGGAGTGGATGGCGTGAGTATTGTTGTCAACTAAGTATTTCAGTTTCCTTTGTTCTTTTGGCTAGGCTATATGTTGGTGTGCCTGGTAGTGAGACAATTGGTCTGAGGGGGACCCCTGGCTTGTGTACCTTGGGGAGTCCACAGAAGTGGGGTGTGTTGGATCCCTCTGCCTTCATCCTTTGGTAGTCTGTCTTGCTGATATCTCCTGATTTTTTTTCAGGGTTGTTGTAATCTGGTTCTGTGACTGTGGTTGTTGGGCCTATCACCATCTATTGGTAGGTGACAGTATCTGCTGGTAATGCGTTGGCTTTCTTGATCTTCTCAAAAACTTTAATTGCATTGGTTTACTGGAAAAAGAAGTTATATTCTCTTTGTTTTGATATTAATGGCTGTAATATTAGAAATTTTGTCATCCGCAGTTTTAAAAATAATCCATTGAGCCTATTTGGATCCAAAAGAAATCTGGTGTTGCTGACCAGAACTAGTGATAATGCTTTGAGTTGATAGTAGCTGAAGACAGAACAACCTTGATGTGGCAAGACTAATTTGAGGCTATCAGCTCTTGCCTACGAAACAAATGTTGAGGCTCATCTATTTAACTTTAATGGTGTGATAAATTTTAATTAGTATAAACTAGTACATCTGACCTTGAAAATTTTAGTTTTGTATGTATGCTGCCTTATTCTTTCAGATTTCAACTATTGGAGAAATGTTTAAAAAGTTTCCACTGTTTTACATTGAGTTAAATACTTGTAAATCTCCTGGTGGAGAATCTGCCTCGGTAAGAATTTTTCAATCTGGCTGAGGAGTCACATTGTTGCTTGGCCTAATCACGCAGGCGTTGACTATGGGTAGAGCTGCTTTTATTATCGGCTAACTGGAAACATTGGTATAAAAATCGTCAAATTTTATGGACAAGTATAAACCGCTAACTACAAAGACCAAAGTTATCTAGTTGGAAAATTTGAATAAATGAGAAATAACCTATCACTTAAAATATTTACTGAGTTTATATGTAAGTTGATTGCACGTGGTCATGTTTTTTTGAACACAGAATTAATTGCCAGGTATTTGGTCACATCGTTTGATAGTGCAGCTGTGGCATGTCAATATTTTGTAATTCAGTATTCCAACTGGTTTGAAAATCAATATTCGTTGCAGTTGGCAGTAAGTTAGCATTTTTGTTGTTGATCAGCAAAAGAAATCTTCGCCATTGCTAGTTGCCCTCTGTTTTCAAAACCAGGAAATTATAAAATGTTACAATTAGCCTTTAGCAGCGGCATGAATTGGTATTTGTTGAACATAATTTTTGTTTCAAGTATGACGCAGTTGTGTGATCAGTTTACTTGAATTGAGGTTTCTTTTCGTCTAATGAATAAAGTGGTACAGTGCTTGTATTTTTCTTGCCTTAAAAGCTGTTTACCAATACACTCTACTTGCCTTGTTTTGGGAGTTGGGTGAAATTAATGTGCAGGGCATTTTAACCTAAAGGCTTTTAAAGTGTAGTTCCCAATCAGAGCCAATGATACAGAATTGATTTCAATATTGTGAGTATGTCATTTTATTTCTCTCTAATTTCAGGGGTTTGAAGGGAGAGTAGCATATTTTTGGTATAAGTATAGCTTTTCTAATTTTTCATAATGTTAATTGAGATCAAGAAATAGGCAACAGTAAACACTTGAAACAAGAGAGAGGATTAGCTATTTATTTATGGCACTATCCAAACCAAAGGTATTTATTGTATCTTCTGTTTCATTGGTAATTCTGAGTTGAGGGGAACATTTTGATCTAAATTCTTTTTATGGAATTAAGTATTAATTTTGTTGCAAAACTGTCTTCATTTGTGTTAGAATGCAAGGCTGAATTTATCTAACCATATTAACCTGAATTTTTTTCCTTTTTGTTAAGGTTGTGGGTCTGCTTGATGCAGATGTGTACGGTCCATCTATCCCATGTATGATGAATTTAAGAGGAAACCCAGAATTGACAGACAGTAAGTTTCTTCACCTAAAAGATGCTACTAATTGAAGTTACACTTAAATTAATGGAGTACACTCACTCCTAGTCAACCATAGATTTGCTACCTATGGATCCACGAACTCATGAGTTGGCCCCAGACTCTATCTTTTTTTCCAATTGACTCATCCAGTCTGATTGCACTGTCCTTGATGGTTAGAAGGCTTACATTGCAGTAGTATCTGTCGTTTTGTTATCTGTGGGACGTCTGTGTCCTCATCCTCTGCAGATAATGAGGATTTGGTGTGTTGTGGAAAAAATTGTCAAGCAGTTTCGGAAAATGGTATGTATTTCAGACAAGTCATGGTGTACCTCTATGAATTTTGTGTATCTTTGCTAACTAAATTTTTATTTTCTAACAGAAGTTATATATAAGTACCACATGGTTTTCCCAGCAGTACGAGTCAGAATGACCCTGTTGATAAACAATACACCAAGTTTAGTGAATGTTTTAATTATTACCTGCAAGACCACTGAGGGCAACAAGGGGTTGAAGTGGACTCTAGGATGGTAACTGCAATATCATTCACCCAAGTATGTCTCAGCAGTATGACCACAGACTGAAGTCGCCAAGTTCTAAAGGACATAGCAGTCATGGTGGGAAACTCAATGGAAGGAAATATCTACTTGACCTCCAGTGTGCAATCTGCCAATTGCAGATACTTCTCTTCATTTCAGTATCAATGGGAATGATTTCCATTAATATCATGTTGTTATGTGGAGGTCACACTCAATCGTGTTAAATAGAAAAAATTCAGAACAGATCCAACACTTCAAAATTGGGCAACATCAATGACAGAATTTTGTCCCACTCTAGCCTGTGACTTTCATGGTACACCATATTGCTTCCTCCTATCATTACTATCAAGCCAGATGACCAACACATGTTCAATGAGGATTCTCAAGGAGAATACTAAGAACAGCACCCAGCATAGCTGAAAATAAACTGCCACTTCAATGCCTTGTCCTGGGATTACATGCTAAAATTAGCCATGCAGTTTCATAATCAAATTAAAACTCTGCCATCCTGCCAAATTAGTTCATAAGTGGTCGTGAACAATTAAGCAACGAAGTGAGGAGTTCTCTCCATCATTATTCATATCCTTCATGATGGACAGCAGCACATGAATGCAACACCAAGGCTGAACAATGCACAACTACCTTCTTGGAAAAGTTCTGAGTAGATGATGCATCTGTAAGGCCCCCTGTCACATGTCAGTCTTCAGATGCAGCCAGACCTGCTGAGCTTTTCGAGCAACTTCTGTTTTTGTTCCTAACAGCCACCTTCTATCTGTTTAAACATAATGCTCTTTCCCCAGTGATGAAGCATGTGCAGAACCTATTGCCCAAGAACCAACCTGCAATTAACTCCCTGGCTTAGCCTCACAATTAATCAAAAGTTTGTTTGGCCTGTTTTCCTTTTAACCCAAGCTGTTAGCCAGAGTTTGAAAGTCACCCTTAGGTCACATTTCCCAGTTCGTAACTCCAATCCAAAATTGATAAAAGTAAAATTTTTTAAAAATCAGTGACGGCTCTAACACTATGACAAATGATTCATCCCTGACTCCCCAAAGCAAATGTCATTATCAGGCGTACATCAAGGGTGTGATGGAATACTATCCACGTTGGGTGAGTGTAGCTCAAGCAATGCTGAAGCTCAATGCCATCTCTAAGTTAAATCAGGCTACTTGTTTGATACCCCATCCTCCTGTTTAACGTTCATGTTTTTTCCCCTTCTGGTTCACCGTAGTTGAAGTATGTACCTACCACCTACAAGATGTACTTTTGCAGTTCTCCAGAGCAGCTTCAAATGCTTCTTCTGAACTTATAGCCTCACTCCCTAGAAAGACTAGAGTAACAGCTGTTTGGGCTCAGATCTAGCTTGTGTCTTAAACTTACATATCATTTTGCAATCACTTTTTAATTTAATGTAATGATAAATGTGAGTTATCCACTTTGGTCACAAAAAACGGAACGCATATTATTATCTGAATGGTGGCAGTTTTGGAAAAGGCGAGTTGCAACTAGGCCTGAGTGTCATGGTAGAACAGTCGCTGAAGGTTCTACGCAGGTGCAGCAGGCAATGAGGAAAGCTAATGGCATGCTCTCCTTCATATTGAGAGGATTTGAGTATCAGAGTAAGGATGGTCTTGCTGCAGTTATATAGGGCCTTGGTGAGGCTACTCCTTGCGTATTATGTGCAGTTTTGATCACCTAGTCTGAGGAAGGCCATTCTTGCTATTGAGGGAGTCCCGCGAAGGTTCACCAGACTGATTCCCAGGTGGCAGGACTGACATGAGGAAAGTCTGGAATGACTGGGCTTGTACTTACTGGAATTTAGAAGAATGAGGGGGATCTCAGAGAAACGTAGAAAATGTTGATGGGACTGGACAGGCTAGATGCGGGAAGAATGTTTCCGATGTTGGGGAAGTTGGGTGTCACAGTCTAAGAATAATGGGTAAACCATTCAGGATTGAGATGGGGAAGAATTTCTTCACCAAGAGAGTTGTGAACCTGTGGAATTCTTTCCCACAGGAAGCTGTTGGGGCCAATTCATTAGGTATATTCAAGAGGGAGCTGGACGTGGCCCTCGCGACTAAAGGGATCAAGGGACGTGGGGAGAGGGCAGGAATCGGATCCTGAGATTGCATGATAAACTGGTGCATGCTCAAGGGGCCGAATGGCCTATGCCTGTGGACTGTGTAAATTGTTTGAAAAAAAACCATGGTAAGCAAAGGACGAGGAAACAAGAAGGAAAGTTGAGTGAATGCTGCAATCAAATTGTCCATTATCTTATTGAATGGCAAAGCAAATGTAAGGGGCCTCGTGGCATAATCTTGCTGTTTCTACTATGTTCTTTTTAACACTGCCATTTCCAAATTCAAACTGTTTTAAGATGGACATATTACTCTTCCACTGATATCAATATTTCAAAATTCCTGAAAGGCACTGGGAGTACCTTCACCATGTAGACTGTAGTAGTTTAAGAAGGCCCTCTAGGTGGAATCAGAGCAACTAGGGATGAGAAATAAATGTTGCCAGAACCAAATCAATGAATGATGAGAGAAAGTCTTTGCTTTTGTCGTACTATTGGTATAAGGTATTGGAACAAAATACATTTAGCCTGTGCAGTATAATGTCAGCCATAACAGTTCCAATATGATGACCCAATGCATCGATTAAAGATTTGCAAGAGAATACAAGACCATATCTGGTGGATTGCCTTTTCAGAACAGTGGCTAATTTTCTCAAAATCCAAAGGTAGTACATGCTGGGTTATCATTTTTAAGTAATACAAGTTGAGTCATGGATGACTAGAAATGCTCCTCAGAATTATTAACGGCTTAAACTGCAACTTGTAGCTATGTGTGCAGCATCCCTCTGAAGGATGCAATGCTGCAGATTTTGCTTTAACAATAAGACAGAAGCTTATTAACAAAAGAACTGAAGATGAAATGGAATAAACCAAACCATCAGCCTATCATAAAAATTCCAATATTTTCAAACATATAGTAAAAGTATAATTCCATTAATTCAAAGCACTCCCTTATAAACTGAAAAGAAACAAAACACCTTTTGCATAGTATGCAAACACACACCTCTGGCACAATACCCAAAATACCATTCATACAATACTCATACCAAAGTCACTTTTTTTAAGTTTGGTAGGTTTAAGTCACTTGTGACTTCAACTTTTGCACTGAAACGGCAGACAGCTTCTTCTTGCAGCTATCGTACACCTGAGCGTCAATGTACTCAACTTTAAGCAACCTCTTTAGGGAGATCTGGGGCTAACTCCAACTCTTCATTCTAAGACAATCAAGTTCACTATGTGACCATCGCTTCTCAAGAGCAGTAGTATGTAGAGCCACCCCAAAGTGAGAAAGAAAAACCACAAGTCTTCCCCCCTCTAATCTTTCTAGGGATGTTTTCTTCAGCTTAAAAAAAAAAGTCCCAGAAATTTCTGACAAATCTTAAGGTCCCATTACTTGCCTTGTTTTGTTGCAAAACATTGTAAAATAAACAGAAATTCATTAGTGGTGTAGGCAAACCCATTCACTTCAAAGCCAGGCCTGAAAAACAGTTTTAAAAGTACTCAAGGCTACAGAAGTCTTAAGAGTTACTTACTACCTTTAGCACACTGAAAACCAACTGGTTAGCATCCCAAGAACCAGAAAACTAACTCGAAAGAATTATTTTACATAAATATCAGCTATGTCACACAATCAGTACCAAATGAATGTTTATATTTTGACATCCTTTCAAGTTCAAATACATGTTTCAAAAAATACTTCCCTATTTGAACTCACTGGGTGACGACCACCTGCCTTGGTAATTAACGGCTACTGGTGATCTTTTTGCAGCGGTCCAAAATTCCTTGCACAATCTAATCCAGTCTATGGCCACCAGCCGCCCCACTCTGCAATGCTCATGTAATTGCACTCCATGTTCACTGCCATAATTTCTTCGTCTTCTCTCCCAACACCACCCCTCCCCCACCCACCCACCACTACCATGACACAAAAAACCCAAAAAAAGTGTCAACGTAAGTGTCTGGGCCCCAGTTTGACGAATACTATCAGACCTCGAAACAATTGTGTAGCCCCTATTACTTTACAGACCCAGTTTGTCATGTACTCAGGTTATTTAAATCCATAACAGCCACTTTAAATGAGATGTGCAGCAAAATGTTCATGTTGCCTCAAATTGAGTGTCTCTGCAGCTAACTTAATTTTAGTTTGGAGAACTAAAATTGTATTGCTCCAGAAGTCAGTCTAACATAAGCCTCTAAATATGATTAATGAAAATAACTTGTGGTGGATCCATTTCCTGTCCACCTTTCTGTTATGAATTCCTCTGTTTACTTCAGCTGCTTCTGGTATAAATAATCTTTTCAACATAAAGTTCTGCCCCATCCCATCTTATTTGTCTTCTGTAATAGAATATGACTACTATTGGGTAGCATTAAAGTATTGGCAGCATATTAATATCTCAATATGCTTACATTCATCAGAGGCAGCATGGTTTTATGAAGCATAAATCATGTTTGACTAATTTGCTAGAGTTGTTCAAAGATGTAACAAACAAAGCGGATAATGAGACCCTTCTAGAAGGCATTTCATAAGATGCCTCACAAAAGGCTAATACATAAAGCAAGATCATATGAGGTTCGGGGAAAGTATCAAAAGGCAGATTTGGTATAAATGTTTTTTTTTCTAGTTGGCAAGATGTAATTAATGGGGTCCCCAGGGTTTTCAGTCCTCAGGGCCCCACCTATTTACAACCTACATTAATAACTTGGGTGCAGGGATAGAAGATTACATAGCTATATTTGCAGATTACAGTAAAATAGATGGGAAAGTAAGTCCCATTGAAGATATAAGAAATTTACAAATGGATACATTTCAGTTAGGAGAATGGGCCAAATGTTTGCTGATGGACTTTAAAGTGGGTACTTGAGATTTTTTGTTTTCCTCAGACAAATGGAAAGGCATCTGGTGATCTAAATGGAGAAAAGCTTCAAAGTGCTTTGATGCAGAGAGTTCTGGCTGTCCCCGTGTATGAATGGGTGAAAATGAGTTTGCAAGTACTGCGGGTAATAAGGAAGGCAAATCGAATTTTTGTATTTATTGCTAAAGGAATATATTATAAAATTAGGCAAGTGTTGCTACAACTGTACAAGGTATTATTGAGATTGCATTGAAGTATTGCATACAGTTTTAATGCCCTACTTAAGGAGAGATGTAGTTGCATTGGAGGCAATTCAGAAGAGAGTCACTTGGTTTGTCTTATGAGGACAGATTGGGCAGTTTAAAAGAATTAGAGGTGATCTAATTGAATTATGCAAAATGTTAAAGCGGACTGACAAAGTAGATGTCGAGAGGATGTTTCCTCTTATGGGGCAATCCAGAATGAGAAGTCTTAGCTTTAGGATAAGGGGTAGCAGATTTAAAATGGAGATGAGGAGAAATTACTTCTCTCAAAGGGTCATGAGTTTGTGGAATTTCCTGCCAAGAGTGCGGTGGATGCTGGGACATGAAGTAAATTTGAGGAGGAGGTAGACAGATATTTAATTAGTAATGTGTGGAAGAGTTATGAAGAGCAGGCAGGAAAGCAGATTTGAGGCCAAGATGAGATCAGCCATGATTGTATCAAGAGGCTGAATTGCCTACTTCTGTTCCTAGTTCTTCAAGTCATAGAGGTATATAGCGCAGAAAAAGGCCCTTCGGACCATTGAGTCTGCACTGGACAAAAACAGCAACCTTAACTATTCTAATCCCATTTTCCAGCAGGTCCTAAAATATGTTCTTTTATTTGTGGAAGGGTTTTGAGGGAAGCCAACAATAATGGGACTTAAGCTCTTGTTTGCAAATATTTTATTAAAAGAATTCTAATATGAAAACATTTTCTCTCAAAGGCAACTTGATGAGACCCTTGGTAAACTTCGGGATTGCCTGGTAAGAATTTTCTATTCAATGGCATCCCAGTTTTCATTGAAAAAATACATCTGTAACAAAATATTGTCTCATGACGCTTAATAAATCATCTTTCACTCTTCTCTTCTGTTTGCCCATCCTTTTTGTAGCATGTCAATGGGATTTTTAGTAGAGGAAGGAGCACCAATTGTTTGGAGAGGTCTCATGGTGATGTCAGCAGTAGAAAGGCTATTGAGACAGGTGAGGAAAACATCCTAATGGATCTTTTTTGAAGAACAGAAAATTAGTAAATAAATTCTATTTATATGACAATTCACAAGTACTTTTTAAAACATGTTTTCAGATAATTGATTTGCGTTTATTTCCTGTACAAAGTTCCATCAAAACTGCTGTTGTTTTGTCTGATTTAAACATGTTGTAATGTCATCAGTTAATCTTTGTTTTCCATATTTTGCAAGGTTTATCTTGTGCTGAACACCTTGCTTAAATGCTCTGAGATCAGGAGTTTGCAATATTAATAACTAATTACTTGTTACAGAATGGCACATTGGTGTGCTAACTGACCACAGACCATTAGTGAAATGGGTGATTATTTTTGTAGTGTGTTTAAATAGACTGTTTGCATTGCTGTTCTGATAGCGTTTGAAGCTTTTTGTTGGTTTGTTTGAAGCAGAAGTAAGTTTTTATGAATATTGCTTTTGAGTTTTGCTTTCAGCAAGGTCTATTTTTTTTTTTGTTTTTTGCTTAATCCAGCAGGCCTTTTGCATCTTTGCTATTGATTTCACGAGTACTTCTGGTTTATAAATCGAGGATACATGTACAAGATCCTATGCTCTGTTCTCCATTTACCCTGCAATGAATGTTTCCTATTCTGTAGGTTGACTGGGGTCAACTAGATTACCTTGTTGTAGACATGCCTCCTGGCACAGGGGACGTGCAGCTTTCCATCTCTCAAAACATTCCTATTTCAGGTAGGTTTAAGGGACTTGGAGACAGTAAGGTCTGCAGATGCGGGAAGCTAGAGTCAATAAATGTGGAGCTGGGACAGCACAACCGGTCAGACAGCATCCAAGGAGGAGGGAAATCAACATTTCGGGCTGACTTCCCTGCTCCTCGGATGCTGCCTGACCTGCTATGCTTTTCCAGCTCCACGTTTCTTGACTCGGGTAGGTGCAAGTTGTTTAATGTCCTTGTACAAACCTTCTAATTAATTTTGTCAGCTGACCCCTGGGTGTGATTTGTTTTCTCTCTTGGGTGTTCGGCCTTTCTGCGCAACTAATTAAGAAGACAAATTTTAACAAAATCGTCCCTTACGTTTGGAAGGTATTTGTGGGCCACTGAAACCATTGCAATTTGTGGGCACTTTTCATTTTGTTTTCTGCTTAGTAGTGGGATAGCCATTTCAGTTCAGCAGTATTTTGAGAAATATGGGTGTGTGTAAATGGGTAATGATCCGTTTTTATTGTTAGAATCAATACTTGTCATTTAAAATTATTCTAGTACTGCCATTACAATGGTTCGTTGTCACCTCCAAGGAAACAAAAGTAATTTCAAAATTGCATTTTTGAAATCAGGTTTAGCTTAGAATCAGAATCATAGAATCCCTGCAGTGTGGAAACAGGCCATTCGGCCCAACAAGTCCACCGCACCCCTCTGAAGAGCATCCCACCCAGACCTATTCCCCTATCCCTATATTTCCCATGTCTAACCCACCTGACCTAAACATCCCTGGGCACTATGGGCAATTTAGCATGGCCAATCCACCTACCCTGCACATCTTTGAATTGTGGGAGGAAACCGGAACACCCAGAGAAAACCCACGCAGACACGGGGAGAATGTGCAAACTCCATACAGACAGTCGCCCGAGCCTGGAATCAAATCCGGTCCCTGGCGCTGTGACGCAGCGGTGCTAATCACTGAGCCACCATACTGTACATCAATTAGTCATGCAGATGGGAGAGAAATATGAAATGCTGACAATTTGTGGAAATCACTCCACTTCTTTAGCTATGTGCACCTCTGCCCGCTGATTAGGGGAATAATATATCATTGACATACCTTTCTCCTTCTGATCAATGAGTTCAATACTGTTATGAAAGTGGCTGGAGGAGTACACTTCGGCATCACTATTGCATCCAGGTCACAGCTTCAAATGGAAGTGTATTTCCTGGTTACCAAGATGTTCAATTAAATACCGTCTCTGCAACAAATGTTAATAAAAGAATCTATCAATCAGATTTATTTAATAAATGCCATTATTTGTTTATTATCACAACTGAGCATCATCAAGGAAGATGCAATAACAGATTAACATGTTCAGTAATTTGAAAGTAAGTACAGGTAGTTCTGCTATAACACGTGTTTCGTTAACACGATTGAATAGTGGACGCTGTTTGGATAACAGGAAGTTTCTGCTGTATAGGTATAGCGATTTCCCTACAATGTGATTTTTCTAAAACGTGATTTTCTTCAGAGCAAGGTTACGCAAGAATGCAACTATCACGTTATAGAACCAGCTGTATGTTCATCCTTCCAAATAACCTAAATGCTGGCTCTCTCGCTCGCTCTCACACTTCCAGGAAAGGAGTGGGACAATGAACTTCCCTCTGTAGAGGTTCACTTTAAAAAGAAAAAAATTCACTTTCTTGTCATTATTCTTGAAAGCAAGAGGGACGAGGTGAAGCATGTTCCAAACTCTGCTGTTGTAATGTTTGGCACATGTGGTCAAATCACACACAGTTGTCTCTGGAGTCTTGGCAGACATGGTTTTCTCGGGGAATAAATGTTGAGATGTTTTTTCAATTACCTTTCCAGAGGAACCAACAGCTTTCACCCTAAAATCAACAGTTTTTTTTTTAAGGAAAAGGAGAGGTCAGCTCCGTTCTCATAGGCTTTTGGTCCCCTGGCTAATTCCAGATAGCAGGGCACTCTCCACCCAGTCACTGATCAAACAATCGTAGCAGGGATTTGCAGCAAAGCAGAAATGTTATCGCTAGTCTGTAATTTCTAAAAGCCGTGTTTAAAAGGAATCTCCAATGTCTACAGTGCTCTTTCAAAGAAACCACTGCAGGTCTTTCCACAAAACTGGAATAAATCAATTTTTCCAAAATGTCTTCAAACTTAAGTCCTCCAAGAAATGTTAAATATAAGCATCTTCATAACACTACTGTAGAAAGTACTGAACAGACAAAATAGCTGACGTACATTGGACAGTCATCCAGTATTTTAATATGTATTTCAACACACATAAAACTAGTCCTGTGTGCTTCATATTCTCTCGTTTTTTTCTTTATAACTTTTTTCCTTTGCAGAATACTTGCATGATTCTCAACCTATTGAACAGCATCTTGAATGCTCCTTTGGTGGCCAACAAGTCCTGAAGTGGGACTTCAAACCCAGGGTTTCTAGCTCAACCGGGTGCTACCAACTGAAGTGCTAGACCTACTTATGAATGATGTAAACACTGCATATTTAGTGTCAAGGTTTTTAAATAACTGTTAGGCTTCATGTTATATGCTGAAACTTTAGTGAACATTATTTTTGTCACTGTAACATGGGCATCACTAGCAAGGCCAATGTTTCTTGCCCACCTGATTTTTTTTTTTTTTTTTTACCTGGAGAAATTGGTAGTGGGCCACTTTTTTGAACCACTGCAGCTTGTATATTCTTGTGTGCAGCTAAAGGTTAGCACTTCTCCATTCCACAATATATTAATATGGTTAATATCCATGCATGATTACTCCTTTTGTTCTCCAGGGGAAAAAGGTTGAAAGCCTTGTTCCTTATGGTTTTTATTCTTCAAGGTTTTTGTCAAATTTCCTGTTTAAGGCTAATGTGGAATCACTTATTGAATAAACATGTTCTTCCTTGTAACTCCGCTGGTTTAACGTCTTGTGCTCTGTTTTTTGACGATGATTGACCCTTTGATCATTCGATATAGTCTCTCTTTATTTCCTCTGTCTAAACTCTTCATGATTTTAAATACAACATCTCCTGTTAGTCTCTGTGCTCTCAGGAGAATAAACCCACCTTCTCCAGTCTATCCATATATTCTTATCCTTGTTACCGTTCTAGTGATCATTTCTGTACCATGTTCAAATGATTCATATCCTTCTTACAGTGTAGTGCCCAGACTGCAGCTGGGTCAGGCTTTTTTTAAAAGGTTCTGGATTTTGTAATTTATACTTTCAATTATAAAGCCCAGGCTCACTTTTTATTTCCTGCCTTTAAAGAATTTTGCACAAATATCCCCAAGAAAACCACTTCAAATTGTAAAATTTACTACCTCATTCATTTTTTGCATTTGAATTCAATCTGTCAAATGTCTTACCATTCCACCAGCCTGTGACTTTTTGAAGTTGTCTTCTATCCCCCAGCTGTTTTGTCTTTGTCTTCTGTTGTAGAAAATGTGTCTGTCTTTCTTCCAGTGTTGACCTTCCTTGCTCTTCCCTTCCTTTGGGAAGGGAATGTTTCATTTCCTTGCTCTTCAAAAGGTGTGAGGTGAGGTTTGAGTAGAGTATGAACACTTGCAAGGACCTTTTGATCTGAATGCCTTGTTCCTGTGTTGCAATGCCATCTAACTTAAGATACAATGAACCTGCAGAGAGAGAGAGGAACCCTGGCTCAAGATCCCCTTTCCTCAAGGCAGTTCTTGCCCTCTCTGCCCAAAGACCTATGATTCCATGGTTAGCAAGCTACATTATCTTAAGACCCTCAGTTGATTATGAAACCTGATATAGCCCTCGTTTTGTGGGACTGATGATGGTAACTGAGCTCGCTGTCCCTGCTCAGTAGCCCATGACTCTGGTGATCTGAAAAGAGTCCCATATTGATTCCCGACCTATGCCGAGTTCGCTGATTTCAGCAGGGGAGCAGTTCTATGATGAATTCCCTGCTCTTTGCCACCCTCTTTTACCCTTTCTGTGATCCATGCTCATGGTAAATAAGATGGTATGCTGGCATCAGAACCTTAATCATTGTTCTTTTTCCTGTCTGCTTGTTGAAATTTTTTAAAAATCACATTGCCTGGACTTTTATTAAATTCTAGTTGTCACATCACTCCTTAATGCATATGCAAATTAATTTGTTTCAGAAATTATTGTAAAGGACAGGTCTTTGAGACATTGGAGAAGGATAGAGATAAAACAAGAGAAGAAAGGAGGTGGAGGCATGGGAAAAGAGATGGAGAGAAGAGAAGAATAATAGGGTGATTGGAAAGGAGAGAGACAAGAGATTACAGGTTACAGACATGGAGGAAATGCATTAGAAGTGGAGATTGAGCATATCATAAAGTCAGAAGGAATTGAGGACAAGGGAGAATGTAGCAAAGGGGAAGTTGTGAAAAAGAGCGTGCAGGAGAAGGGAGTGAGATAGAGTAGGTTGGATGAAGTAGAATATCATGTCACTTTTTTCTTTAAAGTCATATAAAGCAAAATGAACCTTAGTTTTCAGTAATTAATTGCAAGGGCTAATTAGAAGAGAAGTATTTCATTGGCATGATGTGGAAGGCATGCTTATTAGTTCGTCACCCATTGACTACGTTTGCAAAAATGCTTTTCTCATGGCTCGAATGATGGTACTGGAATGGGAGTTTATTATACTTTCCTTTAGGTGCAGTTATTGTTTCTACTCCCCAAGACATTGCTTTGTTGGATGCACAGAGAGCAGCAGAAATGTTTCGAAAAGTTAATGTTCCTGTAAGTACAAATGGTATGTTGCCTCTATTGAGTTAAAATGAAATGTGGATATGACTAAATCGTACTCTGCTCATGCTGCTGTGGTTTTCCCATGGTAATTAAAAATTTAAAGAATTCAGAGTTGGCTGGCAGAGAGTTTGCACCTTCTATAGCTTAAGGATAACTTGTTTACATCATGAATGGTTAGAATGGGAATTTTTCTGATGCAAACTGAGAATTGTTACTGCACAAGTGGAGGCCATTTGGCCCTTTGTATCTGCACTCGCTCTCTCTGAATAAGCAATGCACCCAGTGCCATTTCCCATCTTTCTATCCACAAAAAGTCTGAGGAAAGTGCAAATCTTTCTTTAATCACTGGTATAACATTTTGTACTAAATCCACAATGCATTCCCCAATAAGAGATTAAACATATTAAAGATGACTTTGAGCCACGTATCTATGTCATAGCACCATGTATTCACGTAGTGCACATCAAATGCCACATCAAAGGTAATTATCGGAAATAAAAGCTCATGATGTAGGAGGTAATATATTGGTATGGATAAAAGAAAGGACAGAGTAGGTATAAATTGTATTTTTCTTGTTGGCAAAATGCAAAAGATATGTAAACGACATGGATGAAAGGTGTGGATGAGGAAAGTTGCGAAAGAAATGTAAGGAGGCTATTAAAAGGTAGTGTGAATGAGCTGACACAGACATGGCATATGGTGTATAATGTGGAAAAATGTAAAATTGTCTATATTGGCGGGAAGAATAAAAAAAGTATATTGTCCAAATGGTGAAATGTTGCAGATCTGAGATGGTTGATATTCTATCTCCTACTCTCTATGTGCTCCTTAACACCTTCAGCCTCTCAAAATCCACCTACACCTTTTGAAAATATGTCCAGTGTCTTGGCTTCTATCCACACTTAGTGATCACCTATAGAGAAAGCTGTCAGCCCATCATTCCATCAGTCTCACCTGAACTCGACCCGTGAACAGTGTTTTCTGTAAGGTTTTTGAGTTTCATTACCCTGCTGGGTAACATCATCAGTGCAGCCTCCAATGAAGCACTGTTGTGTTTTCCCGCCTGGTGTTTAAACTGTGGTGTCCGTTGAGTTGGATTACTTCACTTCTGATTTTCCTTTGCAGTGGAGTATATATAGGGTCTAGCTCTGTGTTTGTTGGTGGCCTTCTTAGTGGAGAACTAGGCCTCTAGGAATTCCTGTGCTTGTCTTTGCTTGGCCTGTCTGAGGATCCTCGTGTTGCCCAATTGAATTGGTAGTTTTCCTTATCTATGTGGATGGAGATGAGTGAGTATTGGTCGTGTCATTTTGTTGCTAGTTGATGTTCATGTACTTTTTGTGGCTAATTTTCTTCCTGTTTATCCAATGTAATGTTTGTCGCAGTCTTTGCAAGGGATTTTGTATATAACGTTGGTTCTGTCCATAGTGGTTAATGGGTTTTTGGTTGGGGTTAGCAGTTGACGTAGGGTTGATGTGGGTTTGTGTGCTAGTCTGATGCCCAGTGGTCGTAAGAATCTTGTGGTCAGTTCAGGTATCACTTGACGTTATTGCCCTATTCACATCAATCGACATACCGTTCGCAAGAGAAACACTGGCAACACTACTAAAACGGGAATGAGACCCGAGTGACACCATCTCCGCAGACAACACGCTGAAATTACTGGACCTATGCCTCACCACCCACTTCACTTTTAACAGCCAAGTATATGTACAGATCAACCAGACACCCATGGGATCTCCTATCTCCGGATTAATAGCAGAAGCAATAATGCAGAGACACGAAAGCATGGTCCTTCTGCTATTCCAACCGAAACTATCAATCTGGTACGTGCACAACACCTACGTCATCATTAAATGGCCAAACTACAGGAGACACCATCTAATAAACAACATTCTCACCAGGATCAAATTCACCAGGGAAGAAGAAAAGAACAAACAGCTCCCATTCCTGGATGTCATGGTAGAACGCAGGATCAATGGGGAATTCCTAACAAAGGTACACAGGAACGCCACATGCAGACCAAGTACAGAATTTCAACAGCAACCACCCTAATGAAGTTGCGTGAAAACACTATTTAAATGAGCAACAACGCACTGCAGTAACCCAGATCTACGCCAAAAAGAAGAAGAGTACCTCTTCCAAGTATTCAAAGACAATGGATACCTGAAAAACTGGGTCAGAAGATGCCTGTTACACGAACAACATGAAGATACTGCACGCCCTAACACACTCATCACACTACCATACATGAAGAACATATCTGAACTGACCACAAGACTCCTATGACCACTGGGGATCAGAGTAGCGCACAAACCCACATCAAACCTATGGCAACTGCTAACCCAAGCCAAAGACCCATTACCCACTATGGACAGAACCAACATTGTATACAAAATTCCTTGCGAAGACTGCAACAAACATTACATTGGACAGACAGGAAGAAAATTAGCCAAAAGACACGACTAATACTCACTCATCTCCATCCACATGGATAAGGAAAACAATCAGTTCGATTGGGACAACACCAGGATCCTCGGACAAGCCAAGCACGGAAATTCCTAGAGGCTTGGCTCTCCACCAAGAAGGCCATCAGCAACCACAGAGCTCGACTCTGCTGCAAAGGAAAACTGGAAGTGAGGTAGTCCAACTCAACGGACACCAGAGTTAAAATGCCAGGTGGGAAAGCACAACAGCATTTCATCTGAGGCTGCACTGATGCTACCCAGCAGGCTAATGAAATGTCTAGGGAACAACGAACCAGCTCGGAGAGCAAACCAACCACAACACTCTTTTCTATTATCCTGATAGGCAATCTATACTTAATATGTCTTTAGAATCAGACTTTGGTTGTAAATCTGAATTTACTATTGGTTTTTAAAATAATCTGTTTGCAGCATTTGGTGTTCATAGTAATAATTTCATTGTTAATGAGAGGAAATGGCTCTCCCAAGAAGGATATTATCTAGAAGACAACAGTAAAACTGTGAGCAGGCACTTTGATTAATTCCAAGTGGAATTATAAACAGCATAGACCCACATAGAGTAACAAAAGCAAATACAGGCTTTGGATAGAGATCTATATGTAATGAGTGGTCAAGTACACATAATAAACAATTTCTCCATAATTAGAACCATCATGATTAAAAGTGTACTTTTGGCCACTGATTAACAGTTCATTAGTATATCCTTATTTCTAGTGTCAAATCATTGATAATGCAAAGAAACTGACAACTGTGCTTCAGACAATTTATTTTTTTGTGTTGAAATACACTTTTTTATTTCTTAATATGTTTCTATCTTCTATACTTGGCAACTCTGTCTTTCTTTTGACAGGTTCTTGGTATTGTACAAAACATGAGTGTCTTCCAGTGTCCCAATTGCAAACATGAGACTTACATCTTTGGAGCTGATGGAGCAAGGGCATTGGCAGCAAAACTTGCATTAGATGTCCTAGGTAGAGATCAAAATTAAACAGATCTTTATTAAATTGACAGTGTGCTGAAAATGTAATGTGCTTCATATTTTGTTGCATCAATACAATGTAACTGTGTTATGTCTGCAGGTTTATTTTTATAGTCAAGCTACAACAGAAACAAAACAAAATTGCTCTGATTTCTGTCTTATAGGTGATATTCCATTACACTTAAACATAAGGGAAACATCTGATAACGGCCAACCAGTTGTTGTCTCTCATCCAGACAGTTCAGAGGTATATTGTATTTTGATTTTGCTTTTTAAATAATGACAGTACGGTTAGTCTTTTTAAGATTTTATTTTCAAATTTTAGTTCTTTTTGGTAAGAGATGCCCACAAATAACTTGAGCCTAAGTGACTGCATTGTGTTTTTAAAGCATTCTAAGACATTATTTGTCTAAATTTCAAAGGGAAAATGACAATAACTTAATGCACTTGAATGTATCTTAAACTGAAAGCTAATCCAATAACTGTGGAAAATTGTAAGAAAGTATAAGAACAGCTCTGATCTTTTTAAGTTTCCCACTGGCTTACAATGATGCCGAGCTACATAAACCAGGAATGCTCCGGATGGAATTGCTGCGCTGAATTAATTCATCCCGGTCAGGTCAGCATTTGGATCACCAAGCTGGCCTCTTGTTTCTGAACTTCACAACTGTGAGATCACCCAGAATTGCTTGTCAGTTGTTTAGAGTAAACTGTTTTGCTTACTTGATCGAATTTTCTTTTTTTGATGAACTTTCTACATTTTCTTATAATTTTCAAAAGTCATTGGATTAATTTTCAGTTTTCAAAATATATTGAAGTGCATTAAATAATTGACATTTCTTCCCATTTAATGATTGAATCAAATTAGATTGAGAAAATGTATTTACATCTGGTGAGGACTGGATTGTAAGACTAGGTATGGTTAAATGTTCCTTTGCCACTGAATGGCCGAGCTCTTTCATGAATCCATTTTCTTTGAATGCTTGGAAGAGGTACTCTTCTTTTTGGCGTAGATTTGTGCTGCTGCAGTGGTTTGTTGCCAGTTTAAATGTTCTCACGCAACTTTGTTTGTGTGTTTTAGGGTGGTTGCTGTTGAAATTCAGTACTTGGTCAGTGTGTGTGGCTTTTCTGTGTACCTTTGTTAGGAATTCCCCATTGGTCCTGCATTCTACCATGATGTCCAGGAATGGGAGCAGTTTGTTCTTCTGTTTGGTGAATCTGATCCAGGTGAGGGTGTTGTTTATTAATTTGTGTGTCTCCTCTAGTTTGGTCCGTTTTAACGAAGAAGGTGTCGTCCACGTAGCGTATCCATAGTTTTGTGAATTCACATCAGTAGACATACCACTAGCAAGAGAAACACTGGCTGCAATACTAAAATAAGAACAAGATCCTAGTGACACCATCTGCATAGATAACATGCTGAAACTACTGGACCTGTGCCTCACCACCCACTTCTCCTTTAACGGCCAAATATACGAACAGATTACCATGACGCCCTTGGGATCACCTATCTCCAGACTAGTAGCTGAAGTGGAAATGCAGTGACTGAAAGTATGGCCCCTCTGCTATTCCAACCAAAACTATGGATACGCTACGTGGACGACACCTTCCTCAGATTCACCAGAGAAGAGGAGAAGAACAAACTGCTCCCATTCCTGGACGTCACGGTGGAACACAGGACCAACGGGGAATTCCTAACAAAGGTACACAGGAAAGCCACACACACTGACCAAGTTACTGAATTTCAACAGCAACCACCCTGACACCCACAAACAAAGCTGCGCAACAACATTATTTAAACTGGCAACAACATACTGCAGCTGCACAGATCTACGCTAAAAAGAAGAAGTATTCAAAGACAACGGATACCCAAAAAATTGGGTCAGAAGATGCCTATGACACGAACGACACCAGGAAGATACTACGCACCCTAACACACTCATCACGCTACCTTTAGATCAAGAACACATCTGAATTGACCACAAGACTCCTACGATCACTGGGCATCAGAGTTACACACAAACCCACATCAGCCCTACGCCAACTGCTCAGCCAAACTGAAGACCCATTACCCACTATGGACAGGACCAATGTCCTACACAATATTTCCCGCAGCGACTGCAACAAACATTACACTGGATAAACAGAAAGGAAATTAACCACAAGGGTACTCGAACATCAACCGCAACAAAAAGACACAACCAATACTCGCTCACCTCCATCCACATGGATAAGGAAAACCACCAATTTGACTGGGATAACATCAGGATGCGGGACAGGCGAAGAAAGATGAGCACGGGAATTCCTAGAAGCCTGGTCCTCCACGAAGAAAGCCATCAATAAACACAGAGCTCGACCCCATATACACTCCATTATGAAGGAAAACCGTAAGTGAGGTAATCCAGTTCAACGGACACCATTGTTTAAATAACAGGCGGGAAAACGCAACAGCGCGTCATCGGAGGCTGCACTGATGATGTTACCCAGCAGGGTAATGAAACATCTGTGGAACAACGAACCAGCTCGGCGAGCCAACCAACCACAACATCCACAACCCGAGCTACAAATCTAATCTTAAAACCTTAGAGTTTTAAAAATTGCTAAATATTCTAGAACACTGGCAAAGGAGAGGAAACATTAAATGTAGTATTTATCCAATGATCAAGTAGTCCAAGTTCAGTGATTAGAAAGTTAAGTGACTCTTTATCCAACAGGTACTTGCAAATTTTTACTATGATGATGATATAATTGGAGAATCTTTTTCTGGCCAAGTAAAAATTAAGGATATCATAAAAAAGTACTTAAAGGGTCTATTGCAGAAGCAATTAAGACCTTTTAACATGCCAGAATTGACCTTGTTTGATCTTGAAAGTTATATTTCTTTGTGTTCTGGCATGGTATGGTAATGCTGGCTATAACTTAAATACAGCATTTTCACCTGACCAGAGATATGGATGATTGATATCTCAGGTACTGGATGTAGGACTATATTTAAATTAGCTTTGCCTTTAGGACATAGTTGAATCATGTTTATTTTTAAGGGCAAATGACTCATGTACATGCGCCCGCACGCACTTTCTCCCTGCTGTGCTCTCTCACTATCCCTTACTCGCTCTTTCGCTCACTCTCTCAAGAAATTAAGTACAACATGTATGCTCCTGAATTTTTATGGTGACTGAGTGAAACAGAGATACACCATTGAGTCTCAGTTTATTTTTCTGTGCAAAAATGCCCAAGATAGAATATTATCACTTTTTTCTCCATATGGCATAATTAATTTAAGGATTTAATTTACTAAAACATCTGTTTTTGTAGAACATATCAGCCTTTTTTTCTCTTTTGCAAAACATTAATAACTGTTTTCAAAGAAAGTTAGTCTTTGGCTTATAGCCTTACTAAAACTAATTCATCAAGAACTATCATTGTATATGATGTAAAATTTGCACTTTGGTTTTGCTATTTAAACAAGGTATATGCATCTGTGTTTATCAACTCCTTAACATGATCAATTAACTTGCCTTTTGTGGCTTTTCTGTTTGTGTTACAGGCCAAGGCCTACCTAAGACTTACTGCGGAAGTGTTGAAAAGACTGCCAACATCTCTTGTGTGAGCAGTGGAAAGTTTACGTCTAAGGCGTTTAGATCTACTTCCAACCCTCCTTTTTTTTGTTCCTCAAAGACTTCTGAAAACAGCTGCTAAAACAGAACACGAGATAACAAGGTGTAGAGCTAGATGAACACAGCAGGCCAAGCAGCATCAGAGGAGCAGGAAGGCTGATGTTTTGGGCCTAGACCCTCCTTCAGAAATGGGGGAGGGGAAGGGTGTTCTGAAATAAATAGGGAGGGAAGGGGAGGCGGATAGAAGATGGATAGAGGAGAAGATAGGTGGAGAGGAGACAGACAGGTCAAAGAGGCAGGGATGGAGCCAGTAGAGGTGTGTAGGTGGGGAGATAGGGAGGAGATAGGTCAGTCCAGGGAGGACGGACAGGTCAAGGGAGCGGGATGAGGTTAGTAGGTAGGAGATGGGGGTTGGGCTTAAGGTGGGAGGAGGGGATAGGTGGGAGGAAGGACAGGTTAGGAAGGCGGGGATGAGCTGGGCTGGTTTTGGGATGCGGTAGGGGGAGGGGAGATCTCTTCCGTACCTACACTGGCCCTGAACCCCACCTCTTCCTCCGTTACATTGATGACTGTATCGGCACGAGGAGCTCGAACAGTTCATCCGCTTCAACACCCCAACCCTAAGTTCACCTGGACCATCTCCAATACCTCTCTCTCCTTCCTGGACCTCTCTGTCTCCATCTCTGGCAACCACCG